TCTAGCGCGCAGTTGGTGATGTCGCTTGGTCGCCTACAGGTGAAGGAATCATTTGCTGCATATTCACCACTTGTGAGGTCCTCACTGATGTGCTTGCCTGATCGGATCATTCACTCGATCTGCGCTGGACCAGTCGCCGCCGTCCTATTTCTTGATTGGCTTGTGTGTAAATCTCCTGTTTAGAATGCAGGTTTCCTGCGTCCAAACACGCATAATTGGTCTACTGTTCCTTTTGTGGTTCTTGTTTAATGACTGATTTCAATAACGTTCGAGATTTCTCCGTGAAAACGCCTCGGCTTATTGTCGGACCATAGTAATATTTCACTTGGGCAGAGTGCGATCTAAAACGAGTACTTATAGAGATGTATCTTAAATTCAAGCAAACACGGATTATTCCACAGGATGGAGGCTTCTACCCATAATGCTGGCTTCGGTGTGTTTTTGCTGTTCAGCCTGGTCCATTCACCGCAAAGGCACAAGCAAAATAAACGTCCAGCAACGCACCTGGAATTCACGGCGAAGTGCAATAAGCTCGTCACTGCGAGGACTCATAAAAGGTCTTCCAAACGAAGATTGTGTGACTGAGACTATATTTTCGATATCCATGAAACAAGCGAGCCTTCAAATGAATGGCCGCTTCATGGGGGTTCACCTCTCAATAACAGAGATTGATTAATTATGCTTTATGTATCCTCGTCATTGCAGTTCAAATACGAAGATCAACAGGTAAGTCACAATCTACGTTCTGGACTATCGTCCCTCCCATCCGATCCACCCTGTGGAGTACTGCGCCGAGCCGATCTTCGGCAAAAATGAAACACGCTGAAACCCAATGTAATCCAAGATAAACTGTGCACTCATAAATCTGAAATGAGTAGTCAGCAATGAAATTCACCGGACACGGCTATTACCCAATTCAAACTTCAACAGTCAACGTCTGGACGAGGCTTCCTGCATCTCGTTGTGCACTAATACCACGGATCCCAACAGGGTTTAGTTGGCAGCACGTTCAGCATTCCCCTGAATATTCGAGGTCCACCAGGTGCTAGTGATTATTGGATTGATATAATGGGTACCGCTATATCGGAGCGGGTGATAGGTGGTGTGTAACTCACAACCAAGCAACATTTTCACCATTAGCTCTTACCGTGGTCTATTTGCTGAGTGAGAAAGGACTTATCATTGCCCCTTTTTTCGCATATTCTAAATTGCGGTCGTTACTGGCCTGAAACCGATATCCCGTCTTCGACGAACGAACCAATCAAATGCAACCATTCACGCACAAGTCCACAACACTCGCGTTGCCGCATTCTGTGCCTCAAGATGGTTTGATGAAACGCCAGGAGTTGGACTGCTCCCTGATTAGACAGCCATGTTTGATGAGAGATTAGGAACCTCTTAAGACCTTGGATAATTTACGCATAAATGTAGACGTACATCGTGCAATTTTTCCCTAATTTGCCAAAATTTCTGAAGACTGGAAGGCTTTCATCAACCAAATAATGCATTGAGTAAACAAATATGCATCACGTGAATCGTTTCAGGTGGCCCATGACAAGCAATCTGTTGGGAATACTTCGTTTGATAAAGTATGATAG